ATTTATTCAATCAAAAAAGTTTTTAAGTAAAAAACAGAAAGGTAAATATAACATAAAACCATGAATGATTCATTCTTAATCACTAAATAAATGATTAAGAAAGACTGATAAGTGTGATAAGGAGATAAAATCTGCACATCTAATGCACTGAACAAACCTATCTTATATTCATAATTTTCATTTATTGTGAAAACTTTCAGTTAATAAAACGCTTTTTTCCTAAATACTATTGCTTTACTTATGAGATATTGTTTCAATTGGTTTTACAATTTTGGTGTAGCTTTCATGACAGGTAAAGGACAATATGCACACTGAAGTCAGTAAGACTCATTTATTTTATTTTTTTTCAAGACTTATCTTGAACAGTTATTGACTGATGGCTATGATTTCTTATCAGATTATGAATTATTTACTTTAAGTATATTGGAATTAAATTCTTCCAACAATATATTTTCACTATTTTTAGAGAAATTCCTTTCTGCTGTTAACTTTTTTATATATTAATTACAATGTATTTTTTTGGTTGGTGGCGTAGCTGCGGTTGTTTGGCATGAGAACGAACGAGGTATTGCATAATACTCGGATATATCATATTACAGAGGTGTAAATTTGCCTGTATCAGGTTTATTACAAAGCAAATAGCTCAAATCAAATTATATATTCAGCGAAAAAAAGTTGAATTATTGGTACTACCAAACTTGTGTGGTACTGTTCGCACTTTTTCCTACAATTTTTTAACTTGCACAGTATTATCTACACTTTGCATTTTCTAATCTATCTTTTCAAAAAAAAAAACCTTCATTGAAGGAGTGATTGAAATCATTAATAAAAAGTAGGCTAATAGCTAATCTTGAGACTGGAATTAGAGTAATAATCAAAATCAGTCAGTTGAAATAATTATAAATTGATGATGATTCTCATGTTGTATACGTTGATAATTCTTATTTCTGCTCTTAAACTTTGAGTTAAATCCTCAGCAGCAGATATTGCATGCAAACAACAATAATCTATCCTTATTGACGTTAAATACTATTTCATTGGAAATCAAAAAAAAATTCAACTGGATGCTGGAAAATGTCTGTACGTCATAAGACAAGAGTTCCAGAATACATAATTATAGTGAGCAGAAATTGAGCCCTGAAAGACCAAACATAAAGCTTGAAAAAGTCATCCGAACTAATTCATTTCACAATTTTATCCATTATTTTAGTATTCACTGAATTTAAGCAAAACAGTATTGCATTTAATAGCTAACTTCTGCAATATTTTGTTGAGTTTGAGCAATCTAATAATAATTAGAAGTAATAAATGAGTAAAAAACGAACAATGGTCACTCTCAATTTTTTAATATTTTCGCTGATTTATTTTGCTTCTGTGATATCATTCGATAATCTGTTTCTTTGTTGTTTGTTTTTTCCGTGAAAGTTGAGTAAATATGAACCATTGCTTACGTACTAACCGGATACTAAAAGATTTCTTGTAAATATAATATGCCCACACCTGTTCAATCACACTGGAAAAATATTTACGTATTTTGCATAAAAACGTATTATGCAAAAAAAAATCCTCAGGTCTTGAGCAACTTTTTAAACTGAAACCTTTTAAATTTTTTGATTCAAGAGTTAATTTTGATCGTACGATTTCTAAATCACAGTAACAAAACTGTTTGATTGAATTGATGATCTGAAGTTATTCATTAATTTGACATAATCAGCAATAATTTTTATATATGTGATTTAATATCGCTGTGTTTAACAGAAGTACTTCACAGAAGAACGATTTTAAGTTTTGATCATGCTGCATGATTCAATTTTTTGACTGCATGAATAATCACTTCATTACTGGATACCATTAATAATTACTGGATACCATTAATAATCTTCGAATCACAACTTTTTTACACATGGTTTAATATCTGTCGCAAGAACTTTGAAAACTAAAGATATTTAAAAAATATTTTTTTAAGTTTTAGTTTCAAAAAATAAGGTAAAATTTTCTAAAGTAAATATATATATTAGAATATGAGAATTAAGATCAAATTTTTCGTAGGTAATTCCAATTACCTTTGCAAGTTCAGATCAATTTAGAAAAATGACTAAGACTTATATGTCATTTTCTCAGTGTAGAAAATGACATTGCAAAAGTCTGTTTTGTTTCAGTTATTGTCCATGAAAATTTACTTTAAACAAATATATGTAGTAGCTTATCAAATTACCATTTGCAATTAATTAATTAATCCATTTAATTGGTTCTGGATCTCAGTCATCTCAAAATTGATGTAAAAAATTCTGTAAACTCTCAGAAAATTAACGAATCACGTCTAAAATGATGATCTGCAGCAAATTTTTACGTAAAAAATTAAGATAGTATCACTGTTAAGTCCCTAGTTTTTTCTTTCATTCGAATCCTTTATGAGGTGATTTGTTTTTTAAGAAGTAAAATAGTAAATAGCTTTTCGCGAAATTTCGCTAAATGAGCAGCAATATCAAAAAGTGAAAAAGTATACAATTAATCCTGTTTGTGCTGCATGGCAATTATTCAGACAATAAGGGCACATAACGAGTTATTTGTTTATTTAATTAGATTTTTATAGCTATTTTTATGGATTGAAATAGAGCGAGAAAATTTTCGCTATGTAAATAATAAACTTGAATTGTTTACTGAAAAGAAAATGCTCTTGCAATTTCAACCACATACACATGGCAATTTCATGAAATTAACTGCAAAAAACTAAAAATTAAAGATGACTAATAGTAGTCGAAGTATTAATCTCGGTAAATTTTGCAACTTTATTTTGACGTAAATTTATATGACACATTCGTAATCCTAAGGCAAATATCGAAAATCTTAAAATCATACATTTCTTTAAAAATGTCATATTTTATTCCTGAACGATGTACTTGATAAGAAAAAATAAAAATAAATAAACGTTTTATTAAAATGAAATATTTTGCTAATCTTCTCAATGAAACAGTCTCTGATTTCACTGTCAAATAGAATTTAAATTGTTGTTAACAATTTTTTGCTATTTTATTGAATTAAACTAAATGGTTTAAATACGATTGTGATGACGATAACTTTAAGCTCCAACCTGAAGTCAAATGAATCAAAGTTCAATATAATATTTAGCTTTCAGATGAATGTATGAATATTTTAAATAATCATCATCACAGTTGTATATGAAATCTTTGCGCGATAAAATATGATTCATACGTACGCAAAAGACTTAATAAACATTGTAAAAAGTTGTTTAAAATGCAAATTACTATTACCAAGCAAAAATTTTTAATGCACGAGAAATGCTATTTATTACAAGTGTCAGCTGACAATTTGGTTTAAGCTTAATAAAAGTACACAAACGTGAAAATTGTTGTTAAGAATTTTTTGCTATTAGCTTTCACAGAACACTGCCACTTGCTCTATCAATATTTTTATTATTACAGTCTTACTTATTTTATTACTGTTCATTTTACAGTCATTATTATTACTATGCATGCAACGAATCGTTCATTTTTATTTTCTATTTTTATTAGTTTTTACTTACTTTTCACAGTATCAAGCGCTATAATCAAAGATATCAACAGTAATATAAAAATAACAGTAATAAAATAGATATAACTGTAGTGATAAAAATTCTCCCATTAATTCAATAAAAAACAAAAATTGGCAAAATACCTTTAATGACTGCGATTTTCAATTCTAAATATATATTCACAATAAAACAAGTAATTTGAGCACTCCGGCAATCAAAGATTGAGTTAGCCATTACTTTTTGCCTTCCTCAAAGTTTTAATCGTTTATTTGTAAAAGTCAAATAAAAACCAGCATTTCTCAACGCCTATTTAAAGACTTCCTTAGTGAACAACACATTCATTTCTTCAGTTTCTTTCTATCTCAACGATCTGCTCTTTTCTTCAAACTTTCGTTCATCTTTCTGTTAAATCTTAACTTAAGACACATGATCAGTTTCCTTCCAACAGATTAAAAGTAAGCAAGGCGGATAAGTTATGATTTACCTTACTGCTTTTCCTCCATAATTCCTCTGTAATTAGCATGCAGTACAAAAAATTAAAATATGTAGTACGAGTTCTGTGATTCATTACTATCTTGCAAAGCTTAGTAATCAGGAAAATTATAGAACTTAGCCTACAATTCTGTACTTGCATAATAAAGATTAGCATTACTCTTACTAACCTGCAATAAATATTAGAAGTTGAACAATAATAGTTCTGAAAAAATGTTAAGCGGTATAAGCTCGAATTGCATCAAATTTGATAAGGAAAAAAATTCTCTTTGCATCACTATCATCGTCATGCAGTCTCATACTTTTGCATGTTTTTTTTCTAGAGAAGTGTGCTGAATAAACAAACTTTTAATGATAAATCATATGATGGGAAGAGGACTGAACTCGGTACTTTCCTTGCTTACTGTGCTTACATTATTCTATCGCTGTTCGGCTGTAGAACCAACGGCTATTGTTGGAGAAAGAAGGATGCATCTCGTTGGTGGCTGGCAAGACCGAAGTCTTGATGACCCTGATGTTCTGGTTTGTTTTGTCTTTACTCGTACCTTTTAAACTGCTTCAAATAATGACTTATCTGCTAATTACATCAAATTAATGAAAGGAAGTTCAATACCTTTATGCTAGCTATCTCATCACTTTACTTTATCTATCTTCTTTATCAGACATGTTTCGTTGGACTATTTGCTAATGTTGTACCTAGTATGATATATCATGAATAAGTAAGTATATGAGCAGTTATTTTGGGTATCTGTTAGTTTTCATTTTGATTATATCATGATCTTTTTTTAGATGCAAAATCGGACTTGGCAGGAGGAGAAAAGTCTAAATATTACGATATTGGATTTTTCTCTACCTATGATTAATTATTCATAACAGTTCTGTTAATTGCAATTTTTCGATTTGATTAAATGTTCATAAATATTCTGTTAGTTACACTTTCCTTGTTCTGATTCTATGATATAATTGCTTGTAGGAAATGCTGCCTAGTATAATGAGTAAAGTCAATCAGCAATCCAATGATGCGTATCATTTGATGCCGATTAAAGTGCTGGAAGTTCAGTCGCAAGTAGTGGCTGGGATAAAGTATAAAATGAGGTTACAAGTCGCTCGATCGCAATGCAAAAAAGTAAACGCTTACTAGTTAAAATTTAGCTTTAGTCAAGATAATTGGTCATTTTCAACTTTTTGTCTCAACAGATATTGAAAAATTAACCAAAAGACTTGTTAGAAAGTGAAAAATTTCATATATTCTTCATAAATCTCATATTCTTTGAGAGTATTCTGATGTATTCTGATGATGAATTTAAGTTTTCGAAAATGACAAGTTTTTATATGTAATGTGGATGTATATAAGAATGAAGTCTAGATTTTATGTCATCAATTTTTACAGATTTTGAGCTATTTTTACAGGGTTCAAATGATGTTATTGATTTAAAGAACTGTATTAAACTGGAGGGAGCACCAGATCAGGTTTGTTTGTTTCTTTTTTCTTTTGCAGCCAATAGCTAATAATTTTTTGTTGTCCTCGTGATTCGACTGTAGTTATTAAATCCTAAATTAATTTAAAAAACCCTAAATTTTAGATCATCTTTAAATTGATAAAATATGGCTATGATTTTTTTTCTTCGATGAGTCATATGTAATTGTTTTTTTAATTATGACTACTTCTGGAGTGTCATAGAGTTGAATATCGTTTTTTTATAGAAGTGTAAAGATAAACACAGTAGTTCTGGCTGTTCTTTATGATTTTCTGCATATTCCAGAATATAATATAAATGTTTTATTTATTTTTTGCTTTCATTAACAAACAGTTATTCTTTTATTAAAAAGG